CTTTTTTAAAAAGAGGTGTTGAAGGTGTTAATTTGAAATTTTAGAAATATTCTGGAATCGTGAATTTGACTTTAGTATTTGACCAAAAAAAAAAAAGTCTGATAGTAATCAATAGTATAAGAAGCAAGAGGTTCCAGGAATTCCTGTGTGAGGTTAACTTTTACCAGAGAGATTTACAACTAGCAAATTGACATAATTAAACACATCTAATCACCGTAGAAACGGAGCAACTGTTTCCGTACCAAATTCACAACCACAATAAGAAAAAGGTGAAAGAAATTGTACTTAGATGAGATCGCCAAAAGGAATAAGAAATAATCAACCTGTCTTATTATAATTTTTGTATCGAATGGCTTAAAGTAATATGATATTTCCATTCTTTTTCCCAACACCAATATATGGAAACCCTTACAATACTTCAGATTAAATATAGTTCTATTTTTATCGTTTAACATGATTTTGATGCCGAAGTTTTAGCGGAAGGTCCAGTTTCAAGTGGTGTTATCGAAGGTAAATGCTACATTGAAATTCGTTTTGTTTTTTTTTTCGGTGAGGGTACGTAAAAATTAAATATCTAAACAAGCCTGAGGAAAACAAAACCGACGCAGCCAATTATTTACAGACTCGGCGTCTGAGAAGAATTCAGTATTAAAATACATTTTAACTTATTTTACTGCTTATAGGAACAAATAACGCTATTAGTTAGGTACTTTTCGCTACTTTATAGTTGAATATCAGCATCATGTTTACCTTATTATTATTTTATCATTCTTGTGCGGTTTATCGAAAATGTTTTACATTTTCACTTCAGACTTAAGATCCAAACGCGGCATTTTGTAGTGCCGCTCGGGCTTGCGCTTGCTTTACGAAAGTTTGTCAAACGTGCATTTCATCGGTCTCAATACACGTAAAAATCGCGTCCAAAACGAAACAAAATAGAAAATAAATAGAAAAAGTGTACGGACGGCTTGCGTCTGCAGAAAAAATTGAATGTGGTTCAACTCTTAGTTTCCGCAGACGCCAGCCATCACACACGAAAAGCCAGTTAAATTCACGCTGTGAATGACGTGCGTAAAATTACGCGACAGTGGAAATCCACTTTTAATTTCTCATGATTTCTGTTATTTTTACTTTGGTCAAAGAACACGACGATCTCAGTTAAGTTTTGTGATCGAAGCCAATCTATTTCGTAATCTTTTCAAAGCATTTCTTTCACTCTTCATACCGACAGCGTATCATCTAAAATTAATTTTCAGTTTTCAACAAAGCTTTAGCCCCATAATTTGACAATTTTGATTTTTCTCATCACAGCGTCACCAGATGAGCTTCTAAGTGTCGTATTCAAGTATTTCAGTCCTAAAGAGATAATAAACAAGCTAAGGCTCGTATGCAGAAGATGGAGACGTATCTCTGAAAGTGACATGTTGTGGACCAATGTTTGCCTTGATGAATGGGGCATCACTCATTTCAGCGAGGATCAGTTAAAGACAATCATAAAGCACGCACGGGGTTTCAGAAATTTCTCAGTAGCCTATATTGATGTCAACAAACATCGATTCAAGGAGACACAATCTACAGCTCATAATATTTGTAAAAGTCTATGTTTGTCTCATGGACTTAATTATTTAAATTTGAGTGGCCAGTTGGTATCTAATCTGACCTTCTTGGCACGCGCCAGTTGGAGTATTTGATCCTAAATTATTGCACTGTATTGAAGGACATATCCCCGATTTCTTTTTGTAAAAATTTAACTTTCTTTTCGCTTAAAAGGGCAGTTATTCACGAGGGTGAGCTCTTGCAGTCTGTACTGCCGCTGTCAAATCTGTTTTTCCTAGGTGTAAAGGGAAACGAGCTATCTTTAGAGTCACTTAAAGAAATGTGCAAAACACTTTGCAAGCTTTCCGTTCTCAACTTAGACCTTAATATAGTAAATCAATCAGAATTTTTTATCCTTAGCAAGCGAATTTGATATCACTGTCAACAATGCTTGATTAAAGGATGCTGTACGTTGACTCAGTTAAGAAACATTTATCAGATGAAGTAAACATTTAGCTTGTCAGTGTTCAGTTTTCATATCACAGTCTGTTAAAAATGACGAATTTGACGATTTATCAATATACGACTTCCTTGGTTTATAGGTGTTTCCCAGTTTTTCTTCCACTGATCAGCATGTTGTATTCTACTTTGATGTCGGGGATATCGTAAGTGACAAAGTTGATCCAAGAACTCCTCAGTCCCACGAAAAAATTAAATACCTTAAGAACCATTTCACTCCGCCTCCTTCATATACAGGCTTTTTCTCCAAGACTGTGGTTAAGGGAAAAGACAAACGTACCGCGAAGCTTGTGTTTCAGCCCTCATGGTTGGAAAAGTATACGTGGCTTGTATATAGTCCTTCACAAGTGGGAGGTTTTCGCAAATATTGTGTGATGCATAATAATCCATCAGATCCTCGAGCACAGAAAAGGCCTCTAGTAACTGCTCCATTCCAAAAGCTAAAAAAAGCCACTGGAAAAAATGGGGCACTTGAGCGTCATCAGAAAATGCAATGTCACCAGTTGGCACTTGAAGCCGGCATTGCCATAATCCGAAGTTTTCAAAAACCAAAGGAAACCTTGCCATACAGGATTTCCACGAAAAACCAAGAGATGTTTGAAAAAAAACATGAACGCACTTAGAGTAATCATAACTACCATAATATTGTGTGGCAAACAGAACATCCCTCTTAGAGGCCATCGAGATGACAGCACAAGCACGGCATCCAACAAAGGCAACTTTCATGCCATTCTTATGCTATTGGGAAACTCTGATAAAAATCTTCAAGAACACTTACTTACTGGTAGGAGAAATGTTACAAGCACCTCAAAAACTGTACAGAAGGAAGTCATTCGCATCACTGGAGATTATATTCGGGCGAAAGTTACACAGCCGATTCAGAAGGAAGACGCTTTTTTCTCAATCATTGGCGATGAGGTAACAGATAAATACGCAAACCAAGAAATATTAAGTGTTTGCCTTAAGTTTTTAAATCTAAACAACGACGTTTCACCTAAAATCAGAGAAGTATTTTTTGACCGTGTCAACCTTGAGAAAAAACTGGTGAGAGCATAGCAAACGCTATTTTGTCAAGTTTGGCCAAGAACAACATCGATGTGGCGTTTGCCATGTCCTCAGAAGCATGTGGTGTGCAAGGAAGAATAAGGAGAATAGCACCGATGGCACTGTACACTCATTGCAACAGTCACGTTTTGAATCTCAGTGTTGCAGCCGCATGCAGGTTAACTTCAGTCAGAAACATGATTGGAACCTTAAATAAAACTTTCCTTTTCTTTCATTTTTCACCTAAAAGACAGCGATTTCTAGAACAAGTTTTGGAGAAGTGTGGTTTTACTTCCAGAAAGGAGAAGTTAAAAGGCTTATGCAAAACCCTATGGGTGGAAAAGCATGAATGTTACGAGACTTTCTACGAACTTTACGAGTACGTTTGCATAAGCTTGAAAGCGATAGCTGATCATGAGTCGCATCCTCATGTTTATTCCTCGTTATCGTTCACGTGGGACAGGGAGACTAAAACCAAGGCACAAGGTCTTCTGGCAAATCAAAGACATTCGGATTCATTTTCACCTTTTTTGTCACAAAGAATAGCCTTGGAACACTCAAACCTATTGCAGCTAAGCTTCAGAAGAAAGAACAAGATGTCTTCCAAGCGTATTCTATGATTGACGACACTATTAAAGCAGTTGCCAGGGTGAGGTCAAACATAGAAGAGGAATGTCATGAATGGTTTTGAAGACGCATCTAGACTGGCTGACAAGATTGGGGCTTCAGTCTCAGTGCCAAGAATCACTGGGAGGCAGGAACATAGGAACAATGCACCTAGCGTAAACCCGGAATCGCATTATCGTAATTATGTAATTTAGCAGAAAAGCTGCAATTTTGGTAACAGGACTTATCTACACCGTCCTCTCTTCATTCTGAGTTAAAGGAATGGCAATTCTATTGGAAACAGTACACACCCACTTTACAGCTACCGGGAAATCTTATCGAGTGTATAAAATATGCTGATGAGGATATGTACCCCGACGTACGAGTTTTGCTTATTATTGGTTGTACCCTTCCTGTAAGTTCTGCCGAAGCTGAGCGTTCATTCTCTGGCTTGCGACGAATCAAGTCATATCTCAGAAACAGGATGTCTGATGAGCGGTTGTCAGGACTTGCACTCATGCACTTACATCATGACCTTGACATTGATGTCGACGAAATCTGTACAATCTTTGTAACCAAACACAAGAGGAGGATGTTCCAAGGGTACATCCTTTACAAGTAGAATCCAAGTAAACGGTAAGCCGGCAAGGAATTATAACGTGCAACCGCGGCCGGTGGGAGGGGCTGTGGGGGTATGGGGTGTGTGGGGGAGAAGTGATTTGCCTCAAAAGAGTCCAACAGTCCTTTCTGAACCAAAGTTTGGACCCCCCCGAATCAAAAATTCCTGGATCCGCCTCTGACATAACGTCTGAGTCAGATCGCCACCAGCAGCGATTTGACTTTCAGAGGTGGCGAGTTTGTTGAAGTGTTGACCGGATACTGCTAAACAGAACATCTAGAGCCATATGCGCGAGTTAGTGCAAAAACATACAAACAGTAACGCGTTGAAGCCGAGAAAGGACATTCTTGGTTCGTTACTGTTTTCATTCTAAGAGATGGAGGGCGGTTAATTTGTGATCAGTTTCAGTGAAGATTGCGTGTCTCGAGACATTTTATGTGCGTTACACGACACATATTCTGCAATAGTACGCCCGTGATACACTTCTTGGATAAATAAATCTCGAATCCAGGGTCATTTTGACTCCTTGTCAGCGGTATGGTCGCCATGGGTAAGTACGTCATGTGTAGGTCAAATAAGTCATTATTTGGCAACTATACCGCTGACAAGGAAGCAAAATAACACTGGGCTCGAGAACGGGGTAATCTGCATTAAAGGCGCGTGAAATCGACATCCATAAGAATTTGGAAGCATTTTTGGGGCTGTCCTGGTGTACCGGTACACAGGGGAATTCTTATTGTTTTCATATCCATACATGGAGTTGTTACGCATTCGTTAATGTTTCGTTCCTTTGTGTACCGGTACACGAGGACACAACCGAATTTTTTGGGTAACACTACCACTACTAGTCACAAGTAAGACACAAGACTGTTAAATTTAATTATGTTATTGGCTATGCCGTAAGACAGTCGCAAATTGCGACAAACAGTCGAATTTCAGACGTAAAAGCGAAATGTTTAGTTGCGAATGAGCTCGATACGGGCGCAATTTCGAGCCCAGTTTGAAACTCACCGGGCTTACTCTCAGTTCTAACTACATCCCAAATGAAGTGAAATTATTGGAATGGTTTTGATTTTTTCAAAGGAAACCTAGGAGATAGCTAAGATACAGTTATCAATGGCTATGATATAGCTTTCAAAGGGCGAAAACTGACCATCTGATTGTATGTTTAATTTGACCCAACAGATTGGCTAATGTTGTCCCAAACTTCACAAGTGTAGAGACTTGAGAACTTGCCGTTATCAGAATTTAATGCTTCAGGCGGAAGGTGGTCCTAAGTACTAGTGATGTCCTCTTTGGTCAATGTTGTATGTGATTCCTTCAGCTTACCCTTCACAGCTTTGTGAAACCGAAACCCGTCAAGCATTCATTCAAGTCCATATGGATGACAACGCCAGGGATATGTTAGTTTGAGGTAATTCCTCATTCTTTGTAATAATATTGTGGTCTAGTTCTTTTTTATAGAAACACTATCTTTCCAAAGATAAAATGACAGCTTCTAGTTGGGAGAACAGTGCTTTCAATAACGTTTGAAGTAGTTGGCTACCTCGGTAAAGCACCCGCCGGAGAATTGTATGAAAAACAATTTCGCTCTCGTTGGTCCATTATTTCCATCATAATAAAATGGCTTCAAACAGAGTTTTGTGTGTTGAATTTTGGTAAACGATCTTAAATATTAGTCTCCTTTGTGACAACTGTTAACTGATTGTTTCTTCACAAAATCTTCCATTTGCTGCTTGCAAGCCTGCTACCTGAGTTTCACACAAAAAGTCCTCTGAAAGGATATGTGGTTACTAATTACTAAAATTTGAGGCAGTATGTTCTTGTAAACTCAAAATCGTGAAAAAAGACCGGTGAATTGATCGGGTGTCAGGTACAATTCCTTTCAATAATTTTCAAGTTGAATAAAGACAGAAATTTATATGGCGTAATTGAAGCTGGGGTGGAAAAAAATTCACTAAGGTGAGTGCTTGTTTTAGATTTAAAGATATGAATAATATTCAAACCCCTCCTACTGATTTTGTAGTGATTCATCTTGGCCTGATTGTTTGTAGGGGGAGGTATCAAGCCTTACAACTTTTGCTTTGCTTTGACAGTAGAAGTGATAACAAGGGAGTTTGTTTTTTACAGAGTTCCAGCAATGTAAAAAAATTATTTTCCTTTTGGATGTGTTTATTAACCTGTGGGGATTGGAGGGGAGAAATCCAGAAATGCAAATAAAACAGTTCAAAACTTTTTGAGTTGTGGATGATAACAATTCTTTTGGAACATAGATTTTTTTATAATATCAAGTGCTATATCTGTAAAGGCATGTCTAAAGCTCCCAACAGTAACAAATTACGCAAATCTTTTGAGTAGAAGTGGATAGTAAACTTAAATTTCATAAAAAGTTTAAACACAAGTTCATGGTTTGTAAAGTTGTTCAGATGTAGAACAAGAAGGCAGAAACAGTTTACAATTGTGTTGTTTATTCAATGCACACACACACAGGTTGAAAAACGTAAAAACAGAAAGCATGGTCTCCCAGTTATCAAGGCATTAGTGACGTAACATAGATCGGAAATGAATTAATGATTACATCCATATTATTACATCTCCCCTTCTTACAAAAAAAAAAAATATCTCAATGTCACAGTCTTATGCAAAATAAAGATAAAATAAATAAAATAAACTAAAGAAGCGACTAGCCTTGTTCATTTACTCTTGACCATACACTCTTTATGACTGGTTCTGTCCATTGACTTTCAACAGTACACTGTTTATGACTAGCAGTCTGCAAAACACAGTGGGGGTTGGACTACTAGTCTGTTTCTTGTGTACACTCATCCATCCTCTGGTCGGACCTGGTAAAATCAGATGTCAACTTTTCCTTCAACTTTTGCAGGAGTCTACTCCTTCTTCTTTCCTAGCTAAGAGCGTTGCAGCTGGATACAGACTCTGTCTCCTGGGTGCAACTCATCCAGTTCCTCCTCAACATTTTTCTGAAGTTTTGGCTTCGGTAGTTGGTTAGAGGTGGGTAGGAGAGTCTTGGTTCTCCTCCCAAACAGATGCTGTGCTGGTGAAGAGTTGAGGGTTTCTGTTGAAGGGTTTCTCCAATCTAGCAGGGCTAGATATGGGTCTCGTCTAGACTTGGCTAGAAGAAAGGGTCAAGTCCTATAGGACCTTCTTGAGGAGAGACTTAGCAGTCATGACTGTGTTTTCTACTTTCCTATTTGACTGGGCACATGTAGGGGAGCTTGTCATGTGTTCAAAGCTGTAAGTGCTAGCAAACTCACCGAACTTGTCTGGCACAAATGGCTGTCTGTTGTCAGATACAAGTTGGTCTGGTATGCCATGTCTGGCTAAATGAGCTTTGAGTTTCCTGATGACTTCATCAGCTGTCTTGGTAGTTAGACTATCGACTTCAAAGAAGCTAGAGAAGTAATCAGCAGTGATCATGTAGTCTCTACCATTCAGCTCAAACAGGTCTACTGCAATCTTCTCCCATGGTCTGGTTGGTATCTCATGACAGATCATTGGCTCTTTAGTTTGTTCCACTGGCTGGCTGTTACAGACAACACATTTGGTTAAGCAGTTCTCAGTGTCTTTGTTTATTCCTGGCCATAACCACAAGGTTCGTGGTTATGGCAAAAGGCAACTCATTATGATTTCTTGGGAAGAAATACTAGTAGAGTTGAGGATTTCGCCAGTCCTGACATCATGTAAAGTTGTTTGGATGTAGAACAAGAAAGCAGAAACAGTTTATGACTGTGTTGCTTATTCAACACACACACACACACAGGTTGAAAAGCGTAAAAACGGAAAGCGTGGTCTCCCAGTTACCATGACATTCATGACATAACATAGACCAGAAATTAATTAACGATTACATTCTCATTACAAGGTTCAGTTAAATCTTCTATTATTATAACATAAGAAACATGGCTTTACTGTGCATGCAAGGAGCCATAAATATTCATCTTGATCACCTCTGTGGAGGTCTGCCTGTTCCAGCCCTTGGTCTCTTTGAGTCTCCTAGCAGAATAATTGCTGTCAGGATCATCAAAGAGATATTGTTACAATGTGTGGTATGGCTAGAGGAAGGTGCCAGACACATTCACGCTTGGCAAATTGCAGACTCATAGATTGTTTCCACTTGTTGTATGTGTACCTTACATCTTCTGTGAGAGTCAGTTTTTACCAGATGGTTAGCTTTACACAATTGAAGTTGATATCTGGTCGCTGAGTAGCATGTACTGACAAGTTACTGGTATCTCTTCCAAAACAATTTCCTGCTATAAGCTGATCCACTAGTTTCTCTTTGAAAGAAGCAAGGCTTATGCCTTCTTTACCAACTCCCTTGTACCTCATGTATGTATTTAGAGTTGTTACTTCAAGTATATGATTAAGAAAAAAAAATTGTAGTACCAAATATTTTCTTTTGTAAGCTTTTCATAAGAATTGTACATTTTAGTTACTTTTTGGCTTTGCAAAGGTCTTTGGTTGCCACCATCCTGCAGATCTGACTTTCCTTTCCACCTTGCCAATTTACAAGCCCTCAGGAATGGTTGACGGCAGGTGGACAAACTTCTTGTCTTTCCACGTGACATAAACTAACTTGTGCCTTTGATGAAAGAGAGATTCTCCTCTCTGAGGTCTGATTGTTGATTTTGTTGCTGGGATCACCAATGTCTTTTGGAAGGAATTTCCTGGTTCTCCACATAGTACCCCAAGCTAGTATTCCTTTTCTTTCCAACTCCTTAAAAAGTGGTACTCTGGTATACCAGTTGTCAACAAACAATCTGTCTCTCTTATGAAAATGGGGTTACATCAGCTAGAGAACAACAGGCATGACCAAGTCTCTGCCGCTCACAGAACCCTCCTTGCCAGTGCAAATCGTAGTGTAGAGGACATAACCAGTTGCAGAATTTGCTATGACAAAACCTTTCAGCCCAAATCAACTTCTTTTCAAAGGCAAAAACTGCCTAAATTGTAATCATCCCTTGTATACGATCAGAGTCTCATCAAGAGACAATTATTGCAATGGTGCATAAATTATTGCAAATCTGGGCAGCAAGGCATTCAAAAATGGCCTGGTTTTCCTAAGTTTATCTCAGGCCTGGAGCATTGTGTCAACAAAGTGCAGAATTTGGAGGTAGCAATCTCTCAACTCTGTGTGGGGAAACAATGTAATTTTGATTCCTGAATTACTAGACCAGTAAAACTTGTAGTTGGGTTTTTTCACTAAGCCCTCTGCTAAGGTGAGATGAAGCCATGCCTTCAGCTCTGGAACAGTCAAATTGTGGAGATGACCTCACAAATTATTATCAAGTTGGGATTTTTGGTGTTTGAACCAGATAATCTCATTCACAATACATACATACATACTTTATTGCATAGCTCCCCCTTGGAGGCCCTTCTGCCATACATGAATATTAAAATATCAAGTTACAAAGCAAAAGAAAAAAATTTACAGATAAAAATATAGCCGATAAAAACAGGTTACATTTCAACAATAAAGTAGAATCTTATGATCTATGAATTAATTTCCCTGCAATATCATCTCAAAGAAATGTAGTATTATACAGAAATCGCAGCTGCCTCCAAAAGGTGAAACAAGCACTCAAAACCTTGACACAAAGACTATATAGTTGACAGCATCGAATATGAGAACCATGAGCAATTTGAAAATAATGCTGTTGATGTAAACACTGATAATACAATTTAGAAAGACCAAGCTTCCTAAACTGAAGTTTGTTCTGAAGACCAAGCTTGTCAAGTAGGTCTCTATGAATCAAGATCTGAAAGATGAAATTGCTTCTTTAAAACAAGAGATTGGATCACTAAGGAAGGCCATCAATAAAAAAAGCACAAAACCAAATTTGACATTGATGATTTTAAACACAGCAATAAGGATATTTTGTTTTCACTGGCTTTCCCAAATATGAGACTTTGCTATTATGTTTTGATTTGTTGAAAGTAAAGGCTGCAGATCTATGTTACAGTGACAATGGGAAGACACACTTTGCTTCTCAATATAAGAACCCAGGAAGCAAGTAGAAGCTGACTGTCTGGTAAGAATTTACAATGCTATTATTGAGGTTAAGACTTGAGCTATTTGAAATGGATTTAGCTGAAAGGTTTTGAGTATCAGTGTTCACTGTTTTAACTGTTTGAAGGACCTGGATTAAGTTCATAAGAAATGAACTTCAGCCCATATGCATTCAATGGCCATCCAAGGAACAGGTTTTGTATTACATGCCTCCTGTTTTCAAACCATTCTATTCCATAATTGACTGCACTGAACTGCAGATGGAATCACCTTCCAGTCTGAATAAAAAATCATTATGCTACTCAAGCTATGAGTCTCGAACAACAATGAAATCTTGCATTACCCCTAATTGTGTTGAGTTGTATCATTTTGTGGTGGTCTGTATTGTGGATCTATTAGTGACCCTGACATTGTAAAGAAGTGGAGGTACTTGACACATTTAGACAAAGGAGACCTTATTATGGCTGACACAGGGTTTGTAATACAAGATGAACTCGCCTCTGTAGAGGCCAAGCTTACCTTACCTCATTCCATGAATGGAAAGAAACAGTTTACAAAAGAAGAATCTGATAAAAACAATAAGATAGCAAGTTTGAGAGAACATGTG